TTCCTCTTCCCTAGTAGTCTCCGTTGTCTGTGAAAATGTGACTGTTGCTGGTTTCTCTGTTACACTTGGACATATTGTCTCTAATTCACATTGCACATTCTGTGAAAATGTACATCCCGCTGGTGGTAAAAATGTATGCACCGGATATCTTTCCCATTCAGGCACATGACTATAGTAAGAATTATAGTTCATTAAGCTAGCATATTTTGTACAGCATTTATCTGCTTTTGCATACTTTGGAATGTTGATATTTTTGTAATCTGAATGCTACTGATTGATGCCTTTTTTAAAATAGGATTATCATTTTATAATAAATGTTTAACAGTCATAATGTGATCCTTATTGACTAAGGTGTTACCTCTAAACGACACCTTTGTGGAAAAAGCCTGTAACATGACTACTTACTGACACGTGACCAGGGTACCGTCTGATTTACACGTATCGGCACTCCGGAGCTCGTGACATAGCGTTTGGTTTACTGGTGTTGACACTGTCTCTCTTATAAAAACTCCTGAAGGATCATACTTTAGTATTTCATAGCGGCAAGCCAACACTGTAAAAATGTATGTAGTTGGTCAATTCTTTTAATATGGATAATTTATTTATGTGTGTAGAAGTGAACAGGTTTATTGACTAGAATTGAATCAAGATTCGCCAGGAGATTTATTAATGAGGTATAGTTTAATACTCTAGGATGATAATTATTACATTATTGGTAACGTATGATGCAGGTTTTCCTGCAAAATTTGTTTTATCTTTTCTATTGCAACAAATCCTGCTACAGAGTTGTTTCAAATAAAACGCTGCTATACCAAGTTGATGCTACAAACAGCATTTCGTTTATGTTTAATGTCTATATTTTGCAACTTCTGCGGTCGATACAATGACTTTTTTTTTTTTTTTAGCAAATTAAGTCAAATGTTGACAGAAATTTTTTCATACTAATTTTATTTTTTTTTTTAAATTTTTACACTGTATTGTCTACGTATTTTTCGGTTTGTCTGATCATGGCAAAGAGCACATGACGTGTGTGACCGGTCGACAGGGATTTCTAACTAATCCATGGCACTTGATCCCTCCTCTGATGTTGTAGAGGTCTGTCTTTGCTTTGCTCTGCTCCAAATTTGTATTGTTACAATGGACTATTGAGCTTGATTACTGTTCGTTATTTTCACAATAAATTTAAAAATACTTTTCATGAAAGCAGTATCTTGAAAGGTTTGTATTAAAAAGCCAGATGGAGCATAGGGAATAATTTAAATTAAAGAAATGTCTGTCTGACCAAAACATAGAATAGAAAGTGTATAATGGCACCTTAAAGATTCTGTGAAAGTCTCATTAAATTCCATTCAGTGATTATAGAAGGGGCTGTGGATAAGAGATGGGTACCCTCAGTATTATTGATAGAATGAGTCCATGTTTTCCAATGAGAATCCCCGATCAAAACATTAAAAAGGGGGTGCACAATGGCACAATGTAATTAATATTCCATGAAAATCTCATAAAATTGTATGCAGTGGTATATGAGGAGTTGTGGATAAGAGATTTGAACCCCCAAGCTTAACAGACGGGCGAACACTCCTACTATATACCCCCGCTTTTCAAGCAGGGGTTTAATAACAGGGTTGGTCACGTGATAAAATCCTGTGAAGCCCTCACTTTGGCTTCACAGGAGGATTTTATCATGTGATCAACCCACTTCATTTCAGGGTGCTGTTTTTTACTTGTTGTTTGTATCTTATATACATATATTTAAAAGGGACAATCGTATATAAATACGGCTCTCTAACTGGCAGACGTAGAATATGACGAAACGGCGCAAGGTGTAAATCGGCTTGGATAGTGGTTAGGCTTTGAATAGGGCTTGGTGTGATAGACTTTTTGGTAACAATAAGGATGAGCAGATTGCTGTGTGACTGTTTCTATTTCTTTCTGTGAGAATTGGAATTTGTATAATAAAAAGGCACAAGAAACACTTTGTTGATAGGTTGAATTAGGATATCGGTCGGAAAAGGTTGTTGAGACACTATAACAAGACAAGGTTAGAAATCAAACTTAATTTAATCAAATTTATCTGAAAAATATTTATATCTATGATTTCAGTGAGGCTTAATTCACAAGTAGACACTAAGACACCTTGCCTTTTGTTTACCTTGTCAATCAAACGTTCTCTTTGATAGGCTAGGTCATGTTTTGGTATGTAGGCTATGTATTGATATTTTCGAATAGTCTTGAAAATTTGAAAAAGATTCCATTCAAATTTGAAGATGCAAATTCCAGCATTAGGCCTACCAATAATAAGAAAAACATTAAAATGAAATATGGAGTTAACGAATAATCAAGATTAAAAGATCATCGCAACAATAATACAAATTGTGAGCAGAATACACACGAACCACTAAATACATGAGATGTGATCATGTGCCATGGAGGAGTAAGCATCTCCTGTCGACCAGTGCTCCTTGTAATTATAGGGTAGACGAAAAGATCCACAGACAATTCTGTGTGAAAATAATAACTGAACAATTTGTATGAAAAACGTTCGACTTTTATGAAAGATTATATTTGCTAACAAGGTCATTGTATCGACCATTAATTTGGCAAAATGTTGACTTTAAACGAATCTGTTGATATATTTGTGTCATTTTCAATAGCTTGCCTCGTTATTGAAACTGTTCGTACGCATGTATTTTTATAATATGTTTTACAGCGTGACTGCAGCTGGTAGGAGGAGCGTGGTTTACACAGCCTACAATTGTAACTGAACCGACTCTTCAAAATTCAAGAGACAGCCTAAAGTGTAATGTCACATGACGTCGTATATGTTAGTTACATTTTCATAACGGAGTCTAAATAGTGCAATTTTTAACTGAAGGCATTGCTGATTAGATACAATTATTTTTGTTTATTTTTTATGAGCTCTCTGCAAGAACTAAATCTTTACGATGACTGCGAACCTGTTATATTCGCCATTATTGCATGGAGTCATGGGAGCAAAAGAATTCTGGGAAGGTTCACACAAAAATTGGTCTAACATAATTATCATGATTTCATTTCAGATTTCCTCTATTCTGGCTTTGAGCGCAGCGAGCTCTGTAGACAAACATTTAAGAAAAGAAATTCCAACTGAAATCTGTTCATTTTATTATTCGTGAAACCTTCCCAGAATTATCTCGCTACCACAATTCCATGCGATAACAGCAAACATATCAGTACTGTAGTTATCGATAAGATTTAGTTTTTTACACGTGTTAAATATAGCTTAATAGAAACCAAAGAAAGGAATCTACTCTACAATGCCTTTCAGTTTGGTTATGAAATTTTCATTATTTACACTTCGTTATGAAAGTGCAACTAATATACGGCATCCTGTGACGTCACAAACAAGACTTGATGAAGAGGTCGGATCACAATTAAAAGTGTTAGCTATATGTAAATGTTTTGATGGTTTTAAGTAAAAAATACAACTCCCCCGAACAGTAACATAGTAAAACATATTACAACTATATGCAAACATGTATACAGTTACACAGTCAGTAACACGAAATAAATATACGTTGTTTCTATGTGCACAAGAATCATTCACTTCTGAACAGAAGTACACCCTTTTCATTTAGGGTAAAGTTTATTCGTCCATAGGCGTTCAGAGTAAGTCTTACTCGTACATTAGTTTGGTTACTGACTGTTCTGTACATTCTGTGCTATTGCGTAACATTGGCCATAAGTTTGACTTTTGAATATCATACTTCCCATTCATTTCCTTAAAAAAAAAAAAAAAAAAAAAAACCCTTGTTTTATATACATTTTGCAAAAAGTAATATTATAACTTACCAATACATAATGTCCACAGTACTTGTTGTTTTATGTATTTCTAGAGGGTTAATTCTTTCCTACCTTTGTTGTTTTCGTCCCGATCGTGTTCCACCTGTATCAGTGTATTACAGACGTCAAACCCCACACAGAAATCAGCAAGGAAATCCAGGAGTGGGACAACAAAGACAAGCCAGCGATAGAACATGACTGTTCTCTGGCTCTCTGCCGTGGAGTTTGTTATTCGCCCCACCGTGTTGTTGGGATGTGTATGCCCCGCAGTGTCCCGCTAGACAGGTTCATGACACACCCACTCAGTCACTGACTAACGGTACGTAAAAATTAATGTTATTATGTAACATTTTTATCATGCACAATGTTCCGAAAGTTTGTTGTCCCTTACTCATAATTTTGCATTTCTATTCTAGAACGGAAAATAGCATATACAGTGTTGGTAAAAAAAAAAAATTCCCATCTTCATCGCACATAAACTGCCTGAAAGTTATTTTACTCTTCACAATTCTGTCAGACATGATGATGTGTTACTCAGACCTCAAATTCTTTCCTTAAGATGTTATTACAATATATCAAAATTGCAGTATGTATGACTTGTTTTCTCTCTCATTAAAATCAAGTGCGAAATTACGCTGATGTCAATATTTATCAATATTACAAGTGGTAGGGCGTTCGCTTCGTGATCAGGAGTCCCGAGTTCGATTCTCGTTCTCCACGCCGGTCAAACCTACTACGTAAACAAAGGTAGTTACTGTTCCTTATCCAAGCGCCTGGTACTAGAAGTGAAAGTCGCGGGTCTTTCGGATGAAATCTTAAAAACCGAGGTGCCGTGTCACTGATAAAGCACGATAAAGAACCCTCGCTATTCAAGTGCCGAGTTAAGGTCTAAATTTGAAGCCCTTCACCGGCATACGGCGACATCTCTATACGAGTAAAAAATTCTCGAATGGGAAGCAAAACAACAGTCAATCAATCAATCGTTTTAAAGGAAAACAAATTCCGTTTAGACTAGCTGTAAGAGTAACAGATCAGTACAGTTGAACCATTTCAGAAGAAAGGAATATTAAATGTAACACGTTCATTGTCTTTCTCTTTTTTTTATTTTTCTATAAAGGCAAAGAAATACATACAAACTGATAAATAAAACGCACAAAACTGCAATGTTGTAAATTAATAATAAATACAGAGATGATTAGAAATAACATCTGCTTAAGATATACATATAATGAAGTATACAAAATCATTATCTTTTCAATAAATAAATAAAGTAAATCACAATAAATTAAGAGGAAAATGGATTTCATATATCTCTAATACGCAGTTTTGACAGGAAATTAATTGTTGTTCATAAAATAATTTATCAGGGACCAGAGAAATAAATAGTATTGTCGCTGCCTCTGGGACTTCGTGTTCAGATCGTCAGTGGTCCAGCTATCGGGGCCAGGGAGTGAGTTAGGGCTCCCAAAGCTACTAAACGGAGAGTTATCCTTGTTCAAGAACGGATTTCTGTAAATTTGGTCGTCAAGCACGTGTTTTACCGGAGCTTGAGTCGTTGTCATGGTAGCAGGACAAGGCTTAGTGGGATCGCTAGCATCCACAAATTTTGAGTAACAACCGTCTTTTTGTTCAATACAGCCTTCGATTTTAAATGTCCCTGCGTTATTTCCAAACCTGCAAAATTATCATAATTTTCTCAAAAATACTGTAGTGACAATCCCATTCTTTGCTCTTTTCAAACTTACTTTTACTATATACAAAAATACTGATTTGAAGATTTTTTTTCGTTTTTATTCCGTTGTTCGAAAAATGAAGATTTCAGAATTATTTTCAGGGCGAGAAAGATATCTATTATATTGTCCTTTATTAATTTTCAATTTAAAGTTGAAAATGATTGCATGTGCTTGTAAATATTAAAATTATTATTATTAAAATTGAAAAATTGAATGTTAATCAACGACATCAGTTTTATAGACCTTACAAACTGAGAACCTTTGAATTACTTGAGACACCTACCCACAACACTCTAACCCGGTTTCGGTACAGTAGCAGTCCTCACAGGTCGCGTGGTCTCTGTAAGTCTCCTGGTAGGCCACCCGGATAGAGTTCTTGTATAAACAGTCCAATGATACTGTAAAGCAGAAAATGAAAAAAAGGTATTTAAAACAGTGAAAGAAAACTATATGTATCATTTATTGTTTTTCATTTATCTAGAATTCAACATAATTTATTTTTTTCCATAGTACCATATATTGCATTTCAAAAAATAAAAGTACGTTGAAAGGTATATTTACGTATTGGATGTTTGATTACAATAAAAGATACAATGCTTAAAAGCTTCGAACGAATATTTTGAAAAGGTTTTACGTACTACTTATTTTAACCTTTAATATATATATATATATATATATATATATATATATATATATATATATATATATATATATATATATATATATATATATATATATATATTCACCTGGCTTCCCCGGAATAGCCTGTAAGTTTTGTTGAAATATCCGGCATGCTCCAAACACAACTTCAGGAACAAAGACAGAAAATAAAATTAAAGAAACTTTGGTGTACATTATTCCGTTTTTGGAAATAAAATCGATTAAACTTCGTTGGACGAGAAATTTCTTTGGTTTTCCTTGAGAGAGTGTTTCAGTGACGAGATTGTGATGCTATCAGTTGCTCAGTTAGGACACAGTTTGTTGAACGAGTCTTCAGTGTTTATTATATATACATGTAGTTCTGCATTGTTTTTCCGGATGACGAATCACCATAATTGTTAATTAATTCATAAGAGTTTTACTCCGTTATAAATAACATCAGCCCGACGTTATAAAATTTTGACATGCCATCATCTGTCAAAATGGCTTTTGATTTTAAGAATTGTTGTGGTCGCGTGCGTAAAGAATGCTTCCGTTTTCCCCGGGGGCTTATTGAAGAAAAGTTTGTCTTGTGTCTGTTACAGATTGCAAAAGACGGAGGCATCAAACGATAATCACTTCATCATTGCTCGACAGATTGTTCTTGGCACGTGGTGGTCATTGAATGAAAGAAATGATTTTCAATACAAAAGAACTACCCATACAAAGCAATATGCGTCGGAGTATGATAGATTTTGTTGTCTAAAAATAAAATTAAATCAATCTAGCACTCTTAAAGTTTCCATTTTTTTTTTGTTTAATTTTAATTACGTATTTTTTATTAAAAATATCTCATTACATTTTCTTTCTTTTCCGCATCATGTTGCTAGTACATGTATTATTTTGGTAAATATCTGACCTAGCAGGAAATTTGGAGAAACAATACGTATATATCTCTTTTTAACGTGGTGTAAAAGAGGGGATTAAATCCACGTCGATACAACATATTTGCCGTTGTTCAAGCTGTTCATTGCGGGTTGGTGGCGGTACGCGAACTTGCATCAACAAGGTGTGAAATATACGTACATGCAGAGGTGACGAAATCAGCCAGGTAAATCACAGGTAAATACAGGTGAAGGGGGAGTGGGGCTACTTCATAGAGACAAGGTGTTTGTAAACAACTGCTAAGTTTAATACTATAGTTTTTTTTTTCCTTTTTCATAAAAAATAAAAATTGAGAGATATTTGATGATTGAATGTGCTAAAGTCTTTATGGTATAAGTACATGTTTATATAACTATGATAGTGAAATGCTCTTGAAACAAAATTAGTGACCTGAATGTGTTAATTTTTAACCTAGAATATCATATCTAAAAATAAATTTCCAATGTCCGCTTTCACTTTTTTGAAACACAAAGGATTAGTATAAATGTCGAATCTAGATGTTCAAGACACTAACTTCCGTGTATATTCCTATATTTTAGACCAAGTTCATATTTTATGTTAAAATTGATTTCTGTTTTTAGAATGATCATCACAAAGATAGAATAAGACCGTGTTAATCATCGCAAACATGAAACAACTAATTCCCCATACTAAGTAATTGAATTTAAAACACACACCATGCATTTCTATAATACGGTAGATAATCTTGCATACGACGGCAGTTGATCTTAAAACAGTTGCTGATGTGATTTCCAGGAAATTAGCCTCTTAAGATTAAAATTTGCCATATCAATAGTCTGTATAGATCATGATCATAATCAGCTAGATTTCGAGTGAAATATATAAACAATAAATTATCTTTTAATAAAAAGTTATCTTAGAACTATTAAGAATAAGTCTGTATAGGTTAACTAATAAAGTGACGGCCATTTGATTCTGGAGAAGGGGACAAATTATTTATTGTTGAACGAATAAAGGGATGGCCATTTGATTCTGAAAAAGGGGACAGAATATTTATTTCTAAGATAATCGGTTGGTGAGTTTTTATTTGCTTCTTTACTGGAAAAAGTTTAACAAACAAAAAAAAGGGGGGATGCCAAACTTCAGAACTCTATTTTGCGGGTACGGCCGGGGGGGGGGGGGGGGGGGTAGAAGGACCAGACAAGAACAGATTTTTTTGTCTTTGCCAATTTATTACAGATTATATATTTTCGGATTTTGCGATAACAGAACATTTATTACCATAATCTGCCAGCCCCCACTCCCTCATAATCACATGCCCCGATCATGCTTTATTATTCTTTTTACACTGTGATCAAACACATGGGCTTGATATTAAGAGTATATTTGCACGTAAAAGAAATAGTGTAAAGAATATGGCATTAATATGCGTTTAACATCATAATGTATCTACTATAGAAAATCCAAATTGTTTTCTTAATGTTCAAATATCACACGGAAATACTTCTTATAATATATATGAAACAAACGTGTACATGCATCTGTTATAAATAACTTTTGTTCGTCCAACATAGTTCATGATTAAACAAATTTAGACACACAATGGAGTGCTATTAAATTTGGTTTTGAATGAACACACACACACACACACAAAAAAATCATTCCAGGATTCCCCTATAACTGAATATCGCTGTAATTTATGATTTATCATTGACAATAACAAATAATCGATTATACATTACGTGTAATTAATGTGTCGGAAGTAGTAAACAGTTGCTTGTATTGTCTCACTGCTTGGAACACGGTGCCTGTGGTTAAATTCCGTACAGATATTTTCTGTCTACCTGTACCATTTCCTTAAAACGGTATAATACCGGGAAAATTTCAGTAGAATGATATTAATGCAGAAATCATATTCAATACGTCAGATAATATTACATAAGCGAATTTCATATGCGCAATTAATTAGAGACGTGATATTGCAGAATTATTGCACATGTATCAATAAAATATCTGACCTTGCAGAGCATTTGGAGGGTATTGAAATTTAGCCAGAAACTCAGGGCATATACAGTGTATCTCTATTGGTTAATAAATTGTTTAGCCATTACATTGGATATTTCAGAAAAACAAATTGTGTTCAAATATACATATCAAAGTTCCATATAAATTTCGTTTTTGTGATGAGCATATGTCCAACTGACATCCAATAACAGTTAACTGATTGTGGAATCGCATGCCTTTGTTGACCATTCATGGAAACATAATACATTCATTGCATTTTTATGAGATTACTGTATTTTTGAAAATTAATCTTTGGATTGGAAACTTGAAACACTTCTTTGTTTGTATTAAGGACAGACGATGCAAACAAAACAATAGATGCCTGGATTCATATATATATATTTGGACTTATTTTAGTGCAAATATGATGATGCAGATATTAAATTTCTAAAATATTTAAAATACTACCTTTCTGCTATCATCCTTATACATGTAAATCTATACAACTTTTTATCACTTTGAAGTAAATAATTGGGAAACTTTAAATTAAAAATGTGGTTAAACTTATTCATTTTACTTAAATGTATCGATATAAACATGACTCAAGTTATTTTCATTTGGAAGACAAGTTTGTTTGTATTTTCTGTCCTTAAAATTGTAGTGAATTTCTATCAAGAAAAAATGTTTTCCTTCTAGACAATTTCGATGACTTAACACGTGTTGTGTTAGGGCGGAAATGATGGGTCGTATATCTTGTAAATTGGTCCCTTTAGGGTGGGCGGGACCTCTGACTCTCGCGTGCTCTCTGTCAGTGTGTAGTTTACATAGTTAATATCGTGAAAAAAGTTCAAATTCCAGACAAAACAGAGAACGAGACTCCATATTAATTGTATTAAAGTTGACTTTTCCCAAAATTCTTATTTTTTTCTAATGCTATGAGAGAGACAAAATATAACATGCTAACATTTATGTAAAGAAATACACAATATGGTTAGGTAACATCGACACTTGACCCAATTTCACTGAGAAGATCAAGTAGAGAAAAGGAACATCAGCTCCTTATAACTACAATTGAACAGCTGAAATGATGGTCAATTTATACAAATACTGATGAACTTAATTTACTGTCTACTGATAACAGTAACGCACGGTTCTACTGTCAACACGACACGGCCAGGGTTTATTCAACTTTAACTCTGATAAACTCAGGTAGGTTATTTTAATTAACCCAATAAACCTTGAAGAATTTTCTAAATACCTTAAGAATAGACTTTCCTTGATTATAATTTTTTTTTCAAAGAAAATTGTTTGTTTTTAAATCATCTGGGATGATATTTTATTGTGATTTTTCGTATTATTTACTTGTATTATACAAGTTATACGCAACAGAAAATGTATACGATAAATACAGCAAGAAGATAAACAGATTTTCTTGTCATTGGGTTGCCGTTATCTAAATACCAAGCAATATCATCGCAATACAGGTAAATTTAGTAAAGAAAAAAAAGTCCAATACATGTACGTATCGGAAGATATTACTTATTTCAAAACATATCAGACTGTATCAGCTCATTTCCAGAGTCACTACGCTACGCGTGTACTACTGTAATGTTTTGCTCGAGGTCTTTTAAAAAGGTTAAAGGTCAAATGCCATCATCCATCATATTCAATTTTCGAAATTGTCAATAAAACTCGACAGGAAACGTGTAGGAATAATTAATGTTCAGTTCGATGTGTTACAGACTTTAATCACCAAATCGCTCGATGTAGGTCACAGCTTTCCGCTGCATCGTAATCATCCAAATATTATTACCTTCAATTTTAAGATTTCATACCTTAGAAGTCATGTGTTCCAAATTGTGTGGTCCAAGACCTTGTTGGTGTAAATTGTAATAAAGTTAATTTTACAAATTTGATTTCTCTTAAAATACAACAAAACTTTAATAATTGCACATTTTGAGCAACATGAAATACAAACAAACTAAAAATCATTTCTAAAAATATTTGTATAAAACCTGATTCAATGTAAGTATGAATATTTCAATGTCCATTGACGTGAGATCCGGATCTTTGAAGAGTTTTATGTGACTAATTGACAAACAATTTTAAGACAAATTCATTTTAAGTGTGAGTTACTGTACCGCTTTGTTGCCATTGGTTTAATTGCGAGTTAATGTTTTAATTCTACAGAAACTAAATCTAGAATGTAATGTTTTAGTATAAATCCAAACGCTGCCACAATTCATGGAGTGAAGTCTTAATTTCCTTCCTTCCAGCTACGTCTAGGTCCTGAAAACATTGCACACAAAACCAAAGGGAAAATTTCCTCATCAATGAAAATTCACGATGTCAGTAACAATGTGATCTTGTTTCACCATGGACATAAGGACTGTGTTTATCATCACCTTTGCCTGTTTTGT